GGTTCTTCCATTAGTACAACGTAAGAGGTGTTTTCTCAGAGTAAAGTGTTTTAAGTACAAGAGTGCTAACTGATCTACCACGTTTAGCCTTTCCCAGAGAGAAACAAGTTAATTATTTAGTGTATATATGTCTGTTCATATTCTCATACATATACGTTCATATTTGACCATTTATTTAGAAATGACCTTCCTTAACTATTGGAGAGAACTATTTATATAAATAAATTAACTACATGTAAAGTTCGTAGTAGTTTATTCTTGCGGCAGTTTCGAGGAGATACTTTTTTCTCATCACGCTAGAAAATAAGGATTTAAACAATAATGAGCAATTTACTTAACAAATGAAAAATAATAATGCAGTTACATGTACAACAATTCATGTTAATTACACAAGCACAAGAAAAGATCTAGATAAGAAACAAAATACAAAAGGAATACTCAATAGAAGCCATATGGAGCTTAATATTCTCATCAAAACAAAATACAAAATTCAGTCCATGAGATTTTTAAAATTATTGACTTATGTCAAGGTACCATGGCATAGCATCCAGCCGTGTTATGACTGCAGTGGATCCGCCAGGTGATGTTAAGACCCAAATAACTAACATATGCAGGCGTGGCGCGTGAGAGAGACGAGGTGGGAGAGGGTAGGGAACGCAAGTCGAATGGAACGTGACAGCCTATTGGGGGAAGCCACAAAGAACAAACGAGATACCCTCTGTAGGTACCATACGCCGGATAAGTAACACATACTACAGTCAACCAATGAGAACAGGCATGTGTGCCATCGGCGAAGAACTGATAAATTATTTATAACAAATTAAATCATTACTTAGTGTAAAAATTATGAAGAACAGAATCATACACGTTGGTAGATACATTAGGCTCAACTTGAGTCTTGAGGGGAAGGCACAGTGCGACGAGCAGTTGCAAAAGACCCAGTGCTCGAGAAGAATTGGTTACTGACGGCGGTGGCGATGTGGAACCTTAATTTATTAAAGAGTATGAAGATGAATAATGCAAGTAAGACAGAACAAACGAAACATTTGATTAAATTTTCAGTATTTATCAGTTAAGTTATTATGGATTACATTTTGTGTTATCCTTGAGAAAACTTATTACACTGAGCTATTAAACAAAGACAATAATATGTCTTATCCATAAAATATCTTATTCATAAAACCTGAGAATATTGGGTAAACTTATTAGTGTGTTACATAAAGAGTTGTTGTGTCAAAGTACATAAATAAATACCCTCCAATTTTGTTCGAATGACCTTAAAAGATGCCTAAATAAAATTTAGTTTAGATCAAAGCATTTTAACCTGTGCCGACTTGAGTGCGAACTCGCAAGACGGACAGGTCCAGACCTTTTACCCACTGTTGAGTCAACGCTCGTGAATTTTTAGGAGCGAGTACATCAATACAGAGTGCTGCAAGGTGTGGCACCAAACATTTCGTTACTCCTAAACTAATGGGTGCTTTAAATATATACCAGCTGAGTGTAAGAGATTCTGTATACATACTTCAGACGACAGCAGAGGCACTTGGCCAAAATTCCCGAAGAATTCTCTATTAATAAATATTCTATTCTTCGAATCAGACAAGGGAAGAGAACGTTAATAAACAATTAAATCTGCTTTTAAGAGTAATATATCTAAAATTTTTACTGATCATTGGGATGGTAAACTGTTGCCTGCATTAAATATCAGGGACCCAAAGAAGAAAGACTTCCAATTGTTGCTACATTTGGGGACAGTCAGCAGCTCATTAGGTTCCCAATACTGCGGAATTCTTGTGGAGTAAGAGCACACTAACGCTGTTTGGAATGTGTTAAGACACTGAAGTATCGGAAACAATGTTCATCTTCTTTGCTCTGAAACAATTCCATCAAACACTTGACGTTTTCAAGGAGCATGTGTCTTTCTTGTAGAAAATGTGGACAGAGAGTTACTTCTACGTCGTCATCACATGTACGGTCTTATTTTACACTGTGTTGAAATGCAACATACGTGATGTAGCAAGCACCCTGATACCACTTATTAAGCATTTTAAGGAAAGATGGAAAAGTGTTAATGCTATTAATTTTCAAAGCGTCAAAGAGAATGTGGAAATATTTTTAAAGAGTCCGGAATGAAAGAAACATTGGACATTTATGAAAGTAACACAAAAAATACACCTCTCCAATCGATCGAGCTCGATGAATGACAAGAGCTATTTAATGTTCAAAAATATTTCTGCTAAAATCAGAACCTAAACTATCCAGTGTAATTAAAAATTCCTCAAAATGTATCTCTGTTGATAGTAACAATTTATGTCAAACCGTGGATTCAGTGCAGTGTAGCTGTAAAAGCTGCTGGTCAAAATATCTCCTTTTTAAAAGTTCTAAAATCACTTGAAATAATAGATTCCACAATTTCAAAAGCAGCTCTAAAAATTAGACACCATATGTAGCATTTATTAGAAGAATTGTCTGCCATATCACTCTTTGATGATGAAGTAGACGTACAATTCGAAATCAAAATGGTAGCATGTTTAGCCCGAGAGAATCTACACAAGGAATAGTGGTATTCTCTTTATGGAGAATTGGATGAAGAATAATATTGTAAAAGCAATAATGTGCCGATGACCGTTCTTTGATTGTTAGTTCGTTAATAATGCATTTCCTAATTCAATTTAATTATTTCAGTGAAAACTATAGCCAACTTTGCGTCAACCAAAAGCAGATGTCTGTTCTCTTGCCTGCAGAAGGACACTAGTTTTATCCAAGAATGTTCTTCGACCTGGAAAAGCAATTCTTCATATTCAGGAGCTCAAATGTTATTTATAAAGTTGAAAGCTGTGAATGACTGCGTTGAAAGGGCTGTTAAATTAATGCAAGATTTTCATGGACTACTGACTGTAGATGAGGAGCGAAAGTAATTTGTGTTGCGGTATTCAAGAACATCGTTCACTGTAATATTACAAGAAAGACATTCTAAAAAAAGTACCAACAAGAAAATTAAAAACCATAAGACAGTCTGAAGACTGAAAATGAATTAAATTGTGATATAAAATTATATATTAAACATGTATCAGTAGTTTTTCGCTGACTTAACCCAACAAAACAAATTATCCCTAACATTCAAATTTCACGCTCAAATCGGCACGCTCAATATCGGCCTACTGAGATGAAATTTTATTTTTGAGTAAATTTGACCTAATGGGGGAACATATTTAGTGGGTGAGCCCCAAACAATTAGCAAAAAACCTTTTTTTAATGTAAGGGACACTCTAATACGTAAACACCCTCTTCTTCCATTAATGCCATCATAATTTAATCCAGACATCATTGTGCACAATGAATGAAGAATATCAGTTTGATCCATACCATTTTCCCTCTTACACTTTGCGATGCAAAGAAGTCTATTCATCTAAAAAAATAATATTTTAAAACAGAAAGTAATTGCAAAATGATAGTTACATAAAAAGATATCCAAGATGATAACTTAAAAATAGATTATGATTAATATTCATAATAACGTTAGTAGATTCGTAGAACGTTAGTTGAACGTTCCTATTTTCTTTTTACCACCTTAAATTAAATTTAACCACAGAAAGTGAAAAATAACATATAGCTTCGTTTTGTTCTGAACCCATCCAAGAAAGATTCTGAGCCCCACCGTTGTATAATAATTATTGATAAATATTTTTTGAATGAAATATTAACTTTAGAAAAATGAAATCCAATCAGATTTTGTTTTCTATGCTGCGGAAGGACGAGAGTCTCGCCACACGCGACCTTTCGTCCCGCTATCACCTGTCATTTTTGTTTCGCTTTGGATCTTCTCACAGTAAAAACCAATCATTTCACAAGTCCTTTGTTTCCTTTGGTCTCTGCTTGATATTCTGCCGGTACTCTCTCCGAATCTGTATAATATTGACATGTCTCATACGAAATGGGTAGTTAAAGACAATATGTTTTTTTTATGTGTATCGTCTTCCTAACGACACAATGCGCCTCCTAACCATTGTTTAACGCTTCTTATGGAGTAATCCCCTTTACTCGTAATAATAGTTCGTACGTCGTTGTCAAGAGGACCGCCAGGTAGTATGTCCTCGTACGCGCCTCATACACGCGCTTCTGGATCACTACACAGCGGCCAGAATAGGGAAGGAATTAGGAAAGTGGTCGAGTTTAAGACCCTTCACAAGGGTTGGTTTAGCCCTGGTGAAGCAAGGAAACTCGATTTGTCGGAACAAAGTTCACATGAGATTGTCCGGGAATCGAACCCGAACCTCCTTGGTGAAAAGCGAGTCACATGTACTTCCCTCTAAACCTCGAGCTAGTAATGTAAAGTACAATTAAGTTATTCTCAACATAAAACGCTAACAAGTTATAACGGTTTTATTTCATATTTTTTAACCATCAACTCAAGAACCCGTAAGCTTGAAAACCTGTAATTATTAACCCCCAGTCCTCAATCAAAGCATTTAAGTCGAAAAAAAGTTCGTAGATTATGGCGCAGAGGAAAAATAGGCGCACAGGCTACCCCAACTCTGTGCAACTCCCTTATCATCGCCCATTACGATGCGTTTCAGACCCTTAAGATCGGGTGTCAAATGAGATAGGTTTCTTATTCCACAATCTATACAGTACTTTGACATTTACAGTACTATGCTACTTTGGACATTTTTTAACATTTTTGGAGAGTGTCCCACACTTTGTAGCATGGGTTGTCAGAAATGTGCAAACTTAGGTTCCAGTATACAGCTATTCTCACTTTTATAACAATGATTTTCAAAGAGCGGAATTGTCACACGGATCCATCTACTTCTTAATAACCATGCTGTACACTCCAATAAAGCTTTTATGTAACTTTGTCAATGATAGTCTGAAGTTGGTTGTCATTGTATATGGATTAATTGTTATTTTGATCATAACTCATTATTTACTATCACAATGTGAAAAGGCGTTCTCTCAGAACTATCAGCTAAAAGCGATTTTTGTGTTTTTTGAAGAACACCTCAGATAGTGGGTGGAGCAGTGATGATTCGCAAAGTAAGAGAGCTTAATGCCACTGATATGTTCGACAGTTTCCCCATGCAGAAGCTACTGCAATAGGTTTTCTTTCCTCAGGAAACTAATCAAATTATTTAAACTGATGGTTAATTATACATTCAAAGTTCAATAATCCTCTAAGACGAACTGGTTTCTAAAACGTGTTCAGTAATATTACCACGCTTCTATGGTCTTTAAAAATATTTTAAAATATCGATGGTGCCTCATGCAAAGATTGTTCCATTATTTAAAAGACCCGTTCCAAATGCCAGGGCTCATAACACCAGCCAGATCAATCGGAGAATATCAATATTGGAGAAATTTCTGTGTACTGTCTACATACGTGTTGTTCACAGATTGGAAGATGGACGCACAGACATTTTTCCGAAAATCACTTAATTCACACGTATTTCAGAAAGTAATTTACTATTTACAGGAGCAAGAAAAAATACATTTTGTGTATCAGGTTTGCGAAACAAGTTATTCTGTGCACAAGTTATGCTGTGCGAATAAACGGCGAATTTTCGGCATAAATCTCTTATTACTGTGCTCTGGTAACCCAAAAATGGATAAATCCAATTGCTAAATTTAGAAAAAATCCTCTATAACGTGGTGTAGCCAGAATCTATGTTTTGTGGGTCATTGATACTGAAAAAATTAATGACGGCAAAAGTCTGTCCGTCTTTGAACAACGCTATGTTCGTTTAAAACGCTATTTCGTTTTTCCTGATACAGGAAGATCTCGCTAAATACCTCAAATCCGAAATTTCGGATAACCCGAAGGAAATTCGGGATGGAGGAAAAATAAAATAAATAAAATGCTTACTTGTTGTATAAAAAAGGATTTTATAATTACTGTAGAACTAAGCAATTAATTATTGAAAGACCAGTTGTCGAAACGTTTATTGCACAGGTAACTATGGTGTATAAAACATGTTTAAGTAGTAGTAATTTTCACTCAGAGAAACATGCAAAATTGGTAATCTTCTTTTACCGAAAGGAACCGCATCTGTTTTTTGATGCAATGTGATGATCCATGCTACCTTGCAATTTTCTCACTCGCAGGCTACGTTGCAATTTTTGTTTATGCTTGACATCTGTTTGTATATGTGCGGTACATTTTTTGGGAAAATCCGAACATTGTTGAATCCGAACAGGCCACACACACAATTAGATCGGATTACAGAAGTTCTACTGTATTTCGAAAATTGCAAAAGAGTAAAATTTTTTCAGTCTTCCTACAACTAAAATATGAAATATAGAGATTTCCCCCTTAATGAAATCTGTTCCTTAAAGATAGATTTTGAAATATGGTCATGTATAATTTTTCGAAACTTGAGTAATTTTGCTGGAAAATACGGGCGAGAAATCACGTGCTGTTTTAGCACCATTAGTTTTTACTTTCTCGTGTAAGTACGTATATGCGGAGTAATGTACGTAGTAAAGAGAAAGTTATGAAACACTGCGGAAAATTGATCTCGATATTTCAACGGAAATACATGTTGTGGGGTCCCTTACACAGGCCGGCAGTCTGGCCGTCCGTCTGGCCGTCTCTGTGGTCGTCAGTCTGACCGTCTGTCTGTTTGTCCGTCTGTCTGTCCGTCTGTCACTCTGTCTGTCTGTCCGTCTGTCAGTCTGTCTGTCCGTCTGTCTGTCTGTCCGTCTTCCTGTCCGCCTGTTTCTCTGTCTGTCTGTTCGTCTGACTGTCCGTCTGGTGTGTGTGTGTGTGTGTGAACAACACTAGCGCCTACACTATGCATACGAATGTTTCCAAACTGAATAAACTCCTGTCTACCTGACCTGAGTCGACGTGCTGCGATTTTGAAAACTATTAATTATTTAATTTAATTAATTATTTATAATTATTTGGTCGTTAATTGGCCGTCCAGGACCACGCACACGCACACGCACCTGCACTTACTGAAGCTTAGTAACATTTATCCCGTGGCAAGTGCTTGTGACTCCTTTATGGGAGGATCAACATTACGCTGAATCCAACTCTCATCGCCAGGGTTGCTTGTCCTGGGGGATGGAAGATGGAATGACGATGTTAATGAAGGATGAATAGACGGCACACACAAACACACCCATGCCCGAGGCGGAACTGGAACGCGCGATCCTTCCGTCCGAGACCGCCATAGCACGACTGCCTTAGCGATCTCGGCAGCTTGACATCATCATCATCATCATCATCATCATTATTATTATTATTATTATTATTATTATTATTATTATTATTATTGTTGTTGACGTATAGGCCATTACTGACCACGCTACCCGATTAACGTGTGTAATTTTTCCAGGATCACCTTTTCAGCTGTATCCCTCTGTACGACAAAATTGTTAAGCCTTGTAGTGTGAATTATGAGATGATAGGATGATGAAGAGTGAGGGGGCAATCACTAATACGACCGTGTCTAGGCAGGAGTCGAACCTGCAGCCCCCGCGGCGCAGACGACGGCTACCTACCGGCCGACTTTGTTGTTATTATTATTATTATTATTATTATTATTATTATTATTATTATTATTATTATTATTATTATTTCTCCTATACCCGACTAAATATGTTATGAGTCTGTTGAGTATAAAATCTACTGAAGGTTGCAGCCAGCTACGTAAGGAGCAGATCTAGTGACTGTCAGTGCCTCTACATCACTTTGCGCAAAATGTGGGCTGTTCCAAATAAAGCAATTTCTTGCACTTCCCTATCTTTTGAATGACGTGTGAGTATAGCCAAGTTCTTACACAAATTTTGCGGAACATATCCCAGAGCTCTAACAACTGTAGGGACGACCTGTGCTTTTACGCCCCACATTCGGCTGTTCTTGATTTCCAAACACTTGAATTGAAGATGTTTCTTTGCCTCCTTGGCTACGTTTTGATAGCACGGCACAGCATTACCTATAGGAGATATTATTATTAATATTATTATCATTCTCATTCTCATTATTATTGTTTATTTTTGTTTTCGACACGGAAGACACTGTGTCTTAGGAGAATCGCAACCTGTTGCAGGTTTCCAGTTCTTCCTCGTTATTGGCATTTCTCGAATCAACGTAATAATCCCGACAAAAATGAGAGATAGGCTCAACCCTCAGCTCTATTCTGAAGGTAGGAACGAGGATAGGGTAGATAAGGAAGGATCCCGCGCAGTACTACGGTATTCGCCTGAAATAGGTCAGAGCAGTCCCCCTACGTATTCGTTTCTGCAATGGGCGATAAACCCATTTTGAATATATCAAGTAAATTTCTGGCCCCTTGCAGGGGTCGAACCCGCTACCTACCGATCACTGGTACGTTCGAGCCGCTAGGTGTTCCATTTTCGCTCGCTCCCACCTATGTTGCAGGATGCTTTTTATTGTTTAATAACATTGTAATATATCATCCGTAGTTAGGCTTCGTAGTCATGTCGGCGATGGCTGTCAGCCGCAATGCCAGCTTCTGTAGCCCCCGCCCTTGCACTTGGCGCACGAGCCTCCAAATTGGAGTTGTACTCGGCCTCGTACAAATAAGCAGCCGCCTGCGCACTCGGGCGGGGCGCGGCGGGCGCGGCGGGGCGCGGCGGGGCGCGGTTGGCAGTGGGGCATTTCGAGAAGGTGCGGCAGCGGGGCTTCTGCGAAAGCTTTTTCCGGCGTGCTCCGCGCGGCGTCGCGTCGCGGCCCGGCCCGGCCCGTCTGCCTGCCAGAGACGACCTGCGAGACGCCAAGTGCGCAGCCCGCGGACCGGACCTCGGCTGTCAGCGGCGCGCTGTTTGGGTGCGAACAACTCGCCTAATAAAATTACTTTTCTTTTTTGGCACGCTTGCCTTCCTGGAGACTGCTTATTTGCAAACGGTGGGAGGCGCTAACACTACACTCTGCAAAAAACTCACCACTTCGCAAGTTCAAAGAAAACGTTTTTGTCAGATCCAGGAATTATTTGAAGCAATATGAAAGAATGTAAATGAAAACTAATGATTATAGTGTGATAGTCGATAGTAGGTCGTGTGTAATATAAGCTATATATAGTTATATAATATATATATATATATACTAGGTATATATATATATATATATTATATATATATATATATATATATATAGTTTCGAAGTAATTTTCTCTTATTGATCTTCCACTGTTCATGTCCATACCTCTTTCTCCGATGAATACACGAATTTTGGGCTTGCATGATTCTCCAGCGAATATATCAAAATAAACGTATCTCTATGACTTGTAACAGTGCATACACGTAAGACTGAACTTATCTTCAGAAATAGATCCGTCGTGTTAACTACCTTTATTCAAATTACGTAGTAATGCAATATATGTATAAAACTGACCATGTCCCACGGATGAGTTTTGCAGGCCGTGCATACATATGCGGACACACACACACACGTGTGTGTGTGTGTGTGTGTATGTGCGCGCGCGTGTGTGTGCTTTTGGTCCTCAAAGTTGTGAAAGTGGACTTTTAAAATCCACTGTGTATCAGATATCAACCAATTGTTCACAGGTAAATGTAAACCTTCTTTTCTCAGGCTTCATTAGACTTAGAATCAGGAAAACGATACTGAAATCTGGATTTTCCGATAAATAATTTACATTACTAAGTTTCAATGCGCACAGATATTGAAGGTGAGATGTGTCTATGGTTTCTTTAGATACTCAGAAACTCAAGAAAAAATACAAAAACAAGTTTCGATTTTTTAAACCGTTTAAAAAATATTCCAATTTGTCCATTGATGAAGCAACATCTTTAAAAATTGTAAATATGGCCGTTTCCGCAAATTTTGATTTTCTAAATCCATGTTGGCAATCTGAAAACGCTTCGTGTTTCCATTCGCACGGAGACAAGTTTCTCTAATCTTTTTGGGAAAGCTGACAAAAGAGAAGCCTTGAGGGAAGTCAGATCGATCGGGGAATATCCACTTTGAAGGAACGGTTTAGACCAGGGGTTCCAAACGGGTCCGATTCTGACCCTTGGTGGGCGATGAAGATTAAACAGTCGACTGGGAGCCA